AGAGTCTTGCTTTATTGCCCAGGCTAGAGTGCCATGGCATCACCCTAGCTCACAGCAACCTCAAACTCCTGGGCTCAAGCGATCCTCCTGCCTCAGGCTCCCGAGTAGCTGGGACTACAGGCATGCACCACCATGCCCGGCTAATTTTTTCTATATGTATTAGTTGGCCAATTAATTTATTTGTATTTATAGTAGAGAGGGGGTCTCACTCTTGCTCAGGCTGGTCTCGAACTCCTGACCTCTAGCAATCCGCCCGCCTTGGCCTCCCAGAGTGCTAGGATGACAGGTGTGAGCCACCGAGACTGGCCTTTTTTTTTTTTTCATTAATTTAAAATATATTCATTTTCTTCTTTTTTCTTTCTTTCTTTTTTTTTTTATATAACCCAAGACTTCTGTTTTGACTAGAAGGAATTTATTTCTCATAGTTCTGGAGGTTGGGATGTCCAACATCAAGGCGCCAGCTGATTGAGTTCCTGGGGAGGGCTCCCCTCCTGGCTTGCAGATGGCCCCCTTCTCACTAGCTACGTCCTCAGCGGCCTGCCCTGGGTGCACGGAGAGAGAGAGAGAGAGACAGCTCTCGGGTGTCCCATCGGGGCCCCACCCTTATGACCGCCTTTAACATCAGTCACCCCCCAAAGCCCCATCTCCGAATACCATCACATTGGGGGTTCATAGTGCTTCCACACAGGGATTTGTGGGCGCACAGTGGTGAGTCACTGGGGCCCCTCAGCCCTTGTTGCCAAGGTGGAAGACAGGTGCTGGACCAGGACAAACCTGGCGGAATGACTACATTTTCTGGACCTTAAGTCTGTGTCCATAGTCTGCTAGCGAGGCTGGGCATCTGAGACCAGAGAGGCCTCTCAGAACACCCGGGACGCGAGCTGTTGCAAGCTGCGCCGCTCCGGCCTGTCCTTTCAGGGTTTCGTCAGGTTCTCTGAGGTCAATGTCAGTAGCCTTGGACCATCAGGGACGGCCTTGCTGCCTGCCAGGTGGTGCACTCAGGTGGGACGAGAGTTCTGGCGTGCACGCGGGGGATCGGCAAGCAGACCCAGCCGAGCGCGGCGGCCTCGCAGAGCTCAGACAGGCGGGGCCCGGTTTGCCTGCATGGCTCAAGCAACAGAGCGTGACCACCGTGGGACCAGAGGTCTAAAATAACGGGCTCAGCAGCCTCGGTGCCTGTGAGGGCTGTGAGTGACACTCTGTGCCGGGCCCCTGCCCTGGACTTGTAGACGGTCATTTTTTTTTTCCCGTGTCCACATTCTCTTCCCCTTTTTATAATAATGCCAGTCATACGGCACCAGGGCCCGCCCTAATGACCTCATTTCAACTTGATCACATCTGCACAGACCCTGTCTCCAAATAAGGGCACATCTGAGGGGCTGGGGGTTGGGACCCCAACCTGCAAATTTGGGAGGGGACACAAATCAACCCATAATAGGCGGCTCATATGCAAGGTTCACGCCGAGCCGGAGGTGACAGTGACTAGAGGTAGCGTCAGCCAGCCTTCTCCCAGGGCAGCTCCCGGCACCCCTACCAAGTGGGGGAGCCCAGGCCCAAGCGGGGTTCTGGCCCCAGGTGCTGCTCTGAAGGCGCCGGGCTGCCGGGCGTCCAGGCTGGTGGGGCGGAGGTGGCCACCTGGACTGAGTGTTCCTGTCCCCCTACAGGTCACATGTTGGGGCGATAAACCCCAGTCTCGTGATGCTGGGAGGCGCTCAGGGTTGCAAGAGGCCACGAGAGTGAGTCAGACGGGTGGGAGTATGCCCTTCCAAGGAGAGGAAGCCATAGAGCCGGTTACTCAGGAGGCTGAGATGGGAGCATCGCTTGAGCCCCGGAGTTCGAGGCCAGCCTGGACAATATGTGAGACTCCATCTCAAACATTAAAAAAAAAAGAGCGCAATTTTTTAAAAAAAGGAAGAAGAGGCAGAGAGACCAGAGCTCGCTGTCTTCAGGCCCACTCAGAGAGGCGGTCACGTGTGAAGATGCCTGGGGAAGGCGGCATCTGAGAACCGGGAGGAGGGTCCTCCCAGGGACCGAATCGCTGGGGCCCTGCCTTAGACTTCAAGCCTCCTAAACAGGGAGAAATTTCTGTGTTTGAGTCACTCAGTCCACAGGAATTTGCTGTAGCAGCCCAGGGAACTAAGACACTGTTCAAACAGCAGCCAAACACACGTTCCACGGGGCTTCTAAGCCAAAAGTCCTGAGGGTGTGGTCTCCTGATTAAGGCATTTCTGATGCCACCAGGATGTAGATCAGGTGTCCTCAAACTACGGCCCTCGGGTCACATGCCACCTGCATAGGACATTTATCCAGCCCCGCCGGGTGTTTTTGCCGCAGCTGCCTGTCCTGCTTAGCAGCCGACTCGTCCCGGGCCCGTAGTGCACACTCTCCAACGGTCTGAGGGACAGTGAACTGGCCCCCTGTTTAAAAAGTTTGAGGACCCCTGGTGTAGATGGAAATTTATTTACATACAGTCACGTCCATCTCTGGGTCCAAATGGAAACCTTTCTTTTTTTCTTTTTGAGACAGAGTCTCACTCTGTTGCCTGGGCTAGAGTGCCGTGGCTCACATCAGCCTGGCTCACAGCAACCTCAAACTCCTGGGCTCAAGCGATCCTCCTGCCTCAGCCTCCCAAGTAGCTGGGACTACAGGCATGCGCCACCATGCCCGGCTAATTTTTTCTACATATATTAGTTGGCCAATTAATTTATTTCTTCTTCTTTTTTTTTTTTTTTACTTTTTTCTTTTTTTTTGAGACAGAGTCTCACTTTGTTGCTCAGGCTAGAGTGCTGTGGCATCAGCCTAGCTCATAGCAACCTCAAACTCCTGGGCTCCAGCAATCCTCCTGCCTCAACCTCCCAAGTAGCTGGGACTACAGGCATGCGCCACCGTGCCTGGCTAATTTCTTTCTATATATATTAGTTGGCCAATTAATTTCTTTCTGTTTATAGTAGAGACAAGGTCCCGCTCTTGCTCTGGCTGGTTTTGAACTCCTGACCTGGAGCAATCCGCCTGCCTCGGCCTCCCAGAGTGCTAGGATGACAGGCATGAGCCACCTCGTCCGGCCTAATTTCTTTCTATTTTCAGTAGAGACAGGGTCTCGCTCTTGCTCAGGCTAGTTTCAAACTCCTGACCTTGAGCGATCCTCCCGCCTTGGCCTCCCAGAGTGCTAGGATTACAGGCGTGAGCCACTGCGCCCGGCCTCCTCTGTGACCTTTGGCAGTTACTTAGAAACTGGAGGGACTGGCGGTATTTGCAGAATCCAGGAACCGAAACTTGGGTACGGACTATAGGGACAGAAACCTTTCTTACCTGGGTGAACATCCAGGTGTGGTTATCCTCTAACTTAGCTGGGCTTAGCAGTTATTTTTGTGGGTCTTGTGGGCTTCTCCTTTTTTCTTTAGGGAGGAGAGGGGGTGCCCACCACCAGCCTTACATCACCAAAATGTCATTTTCAGCATTTTGACCTCCAGGTACCTGGGCCCTGTGTTGAGGGGGAGGGTCCCAAAGCCCAGGCCTGGAGGCCACTCATCCCCTTCCCCACCTCCTCTGCTCGTTCCTCTTAGTGCTTTGGATGTACCTGGGCCAAAGGTGTGGTAGTTGGGGGGGGGGGCTGAGGATGGGGGAGGGCGCTTATGAGGTTTGCCAATGAGTGGGGAGGGGACCATGGGTGACAGACCAAGGTGGGAGAGATGAAATCAGCTGCACAGGAGGAGATGCATTATCAGACTCTCCCGAGAGCCAAAGGTGGATGACCTCACAGAGCAGGACGAGAAAGGGTCAGTAAGGGCAGTGGGTAGCGCTGCTTGCCACTGTGGGTTCTTGGGGCTCACCCAACACTTGGGGCTCACTCACCAACGCTGTAACTTCTAGCTTCTCCTCCTGGGTTTCCTCACCTGTAAGATGGGATGGACTTCTACCTTACAGGGTGGTTGTGAAAATTCAGTTTGTTAGTGCATGTGCTCAATAAATGTTAGCTATTATTGCTATTATTACTATTGAGACAGAGTCTCCCTTTGTTGCCCAAGCTGAACTCGAACCCCTGGGCTCAAGTGATCCTTCAGCCTCCCAGGTAGCTGGGACTATGGGTGCTGGCCACTGCACCCCGCTTAAGGGTTAGCTATTGTTAATCCTCAATTAGTTATTACTAATTTCAGTGTACTTCCTCTTTAAGATCTGGAACTCGGTGGCAATGTCCTGCACAGACTCCCCAGCACCAGGGACACATGGGCACACCAAATCGCCACGTCTGCAGGTCCAGAACCAAGGAAGGTCTCAGCCTCCTCCCCCCTCGCCGAGGTGGCTCAGGGAAGCGGCAGGAAGTGGGTCAGCAGTGGCCGGGCTGGGCCTCCACCGGTGGGGTTTGTCCTTGGGGGCAGGCAGAACCGGCGGGGGGGTGGGATGAGACATGTGGCCCAGTCCTGGGACACCTGTGACTGCAGGGCCTGGCACGTGGCCAGGGCTGGGTGCCTCTGCAGGCCACGCCAACGGAAGGGACACTCGAGGTCCCCAGAGCGCGTCCGGCGCGGTGGTGGAGGGGCGGCCTGGTCCGGGGAGGCGGCGTGGGCCCGGTACGGGCTCCGGGTCCACAGGTGGCCGGAGGAACGCGGTGGCCCTGAGGCCCCAGGGTGGGCGCGGGGCATGGAGGGCGCAGCGGGGGCAGGGCACACTCACTTCCGCGCCACGCCCACTCTCGGGCTCCGCGTGCGGAGCGAGTTCCAGTCCCGCTGCGCCCCAGGCTCCTCCGGAGGGCAGGGGCGTGGCGCCGGCCCCCGCGTCTCCCGCAGGGTGCAGGGCCCGGGCGGGCCACGTGTGTTGAATGAATGAATGAGTGAATGAATGAATGCGCGGCGCTGCAGCGTCCCCGCTGGGTTAGGTGAAAGTACAGACCCGGCGTTCCGGGGTGGCCGCTCCCGCCCACGTGCCGGAGCGCGGAGCGGCGCGGGTCACCGAGGCCCAGCCGGCCGGGGCGCTTTCGCTTCCTCCCGGTCCCCCTCCCGGGGCGGGGCTTGCGCGGCTGTCCCCGCCCCCGGCCCGCCCCCGCGCCGCGCGGGACTCGGTGCGAGCCGCCGGCGGAGGTCAGGGGGAGGCGGCCTGGCGTCCGAGCCGAGCGCCTGCGCCGAGCGGCAGCCGCGCCGAGCCGAGCCGAGCCCGAGCGCGCGGCGGAGCCCGTGACCCGCGCCCGGCCCCGCGCCGCCGCGCCAGGCCCGGCATGGAGGAGGAGTGCCGGGTGCTCTCCATCCAGAGCCACGTCGTCCGCGGCTACGTGGGCAACCGGGCGGCCACGTTCCCGCTGCAGGTACGCGCCGCCACGACCCGCCGCCCGGACTTACGTAACGCGCCCGGGCGTCCCCGCGCCCGCCGTGCGGGCCCGCGGCGTGGTGGCCGCAGCCGGCCTGCTGGTGACCTTGCCCGGGCCACCCGAGACGAGCCTCCGCTCGGGGTGCGCGGGGCGCCGAGGACGCAGGCGCTGGGCTGAGCCACCCCGGTTTGCAGGGGCGGAAGCGGGGCTGAGCACCCGGTGGGCCCCTGCGGGTGGGATTGGTCCCAGGGTCGGCGTGGGGGTGGTGCTCAGGGACGATGAACTCCCGAGCACGAGCTGTGGCGCAGCCGCTGGCTCCTGCGGGTCCCTGCCCCTTCCTGCCAGCCGGGCCAGCTATGGACGGGGCTCCGAGGAGGCGAGAAAATGCGGCAGGCTTGGGGGGCACGGAGGAGTCGCCCCCGGGATGCCCCGCTGGAGCGCAGACAGCCTGGAGCGAGGGCAGGCGTGTAGACGCAGGTGTTTGCGTGTTCACTTGCTGGGGCAATAGGGGTCCGTACCTCCCCCCGTGGGTCAGGAGGCCTGAGTAAGGTCACCGACCGTGAGGCCATCGTGCCCACTCCAGGGAGCGGTCAAAGGGAAGGGTGTGCTGCACCCCCTGGCAGAGAAGCCCCCACCCCTTGCAGGTGTGCACTCCGAAGAGAACCCCAGAGACAGCTCAGGACTGTGCTCGCTGTGATTGATGGAACTGCCCTTTGAAAGCCTTATCTTGCCTTGCCAGCAGGTCCTCCTGCTGTCTCACCTGTCCTTAGGAAGGGGGTCACAGCTTCCTGGTTGTAGCTGGGTGGCCCTTGGCTGGTTGGGAGGAGGCCTGGGTGCAGTGGGTGTCATGCTGGCCAGAGGTAGAACCAGGGTGTTGGGCACTTCCTTGCCCTGTGGGCAGCGGGAGGGCTGGGCGGGCCTTGCCAGGAGGAGGGACCCTCTTGCCCCCCTTTGGCCTGGTCCCTGAGCAGGTACAGCAGGGGCAGACCCTGCACGGGGCAGTCAGGCTGCACCTGTCCCTTAGCCCAGGCTCAGCTGCTGCCCCTAGCTGGGGTGTGGGGAGGAGAGGTCACCCCAGGCAGGCAGACTGTGTGGTCATCGTCACCGAGGTGGGGTTATGCTCGGGAAGAAAGGTGCAGGGTTCCTGAAGCAGGAGTGGCAGGGAGGCTGGGACAGGCCTGGCTCTGAGAGCAGCTTCAGCTCGCTGCTCGGATTGCAGAAATGTGCGGGTCTCTGCTCCCCGTCTACCTGCTCCTACTCCTCCTTTCTCCCTTCCTTGGGCAAACTGTTCCCTTCCTCAGCCCTCCCTGGGTCCAGCAATGTCCCTGGTTCCTGAACTTCCAGCTACTCAAAAACAGGGTCCTCCTGGCGACCTGTCTGGGGCAGGGCCTCCTGTGGGCGGAGCTGCTGTTCTCCCCTGGGGTCTCCCTGGCGCCCAGCTGCGCAGGGCCCCCAGGCCATCATTCTGCTCCCACACCCCACATCTGAGCACCACGGACCGGGAGAAGCATTGAGTTGGTCACCGGCGGGGCCAGCTTGGACCTGCCTCAGGGAGCACAGGAGGGGCCAGGATGGACAGAGCTCGAAAGTAGCCTTAGGCTGGGGCCTCTGCTAGTCTCGCCTCTGGCTGCAATTCCAAGGGAAACATTCCTTCAAGTCCCAAGCTGCTGGGAGGGTGGGACTTAACTTTGATCGACGTTGTGCAGCTTGGGATTGCAAAGGCTCGTTCACGGGGCTGCATATGAGGAAAGAACGCTTAGAAGTGGGGGGAATGGAAGGTCCGGCGGGGGCCTCAGAGGTTTCCCCAATGCTGCTTGGAAAGAGCCCCGAGATTGCCTGCCCTCGGGGGCGTGGCATGTGGGGTGCTGGAGAGCCGCATGTGGGGACTGACCTGGGTGTGCACGCTTCCTGCCTTGGAGTGGACGTCCTGGTCTTGGAGCTTGGCCCAGGGGCCTGGCCCTGGTCTGATCCCGCCCCTCCCCCCAGCCTCACCTGCAAACCAGGCACAGTCTCTGTTGACAGAGGGTGCCAGGTTTCTCACGGCCGTCGTGCCGGGCTCAGCTGGAGCCTGCTGTCCCCACTGGGCAGCCTGCATGTCTGGACTCCAGAGACGTCCACCCCCCCCCTTTCTGCAAGACCCTCTGAGCACACCACTCTCAGTCTCCCTCTGCGGCCCCCCCTGCCCTGGGCGGGGCTGAGAAAAACATTGTACTGAAGAGAAGGGAGTGGAACCTGGACTCTGTGTTTGGATTTTGTCTGAGGGCCCGAGTCCAAGGTACATTTCAGTGGCGGAAGGGGACGTGTTAGCATGACCAGTGTGGGCAGGAGAAGCAGTGTCCGGCAGTGCGGGTCGGGGTGTGCAGAGAGCAAGGAGAACCAGGCGCGGGGTCTACAGGGGCGAGGGGGCAAGGTCAGGCCTGTGCCAGGCACAGACAGGCCTCTCGTGATGTGTCTGGGGCTTCGGCTTGGGTTCCAGGTGGGAGAAGAAGAAAAGGAACGGATGGAGTGGAGATGGGCGAGCCTGCGTCCTGCGGGCCCGTTGGGGCAGCCTCCCGGCCCCGCTGCTGCCCGCTGTGTTGAAAGCACGAACGTGCCCCTCTGGGTGAGGTGTCAGTTTGCCAGGCCTGCCATACAAAGTCCCACGAACCGGGTGGCTTGTAACAACAGAAGTCTGCCCCTCGTAGTCTGGAGGCCGGAAGTCTGAGGTCAAGGTGTGGACGGGGTCCTGCTCCTGGGCTGCCCAGAGCTGCCTCTTCCAGCCCCCAGTGGCCCCAGCTGTTCCTTGACTTGTGGCCGCGTCACTCCGGTCTCTGCCTTCACGTGGCCTTCTCCTCCGTGTCTTCTCTCCTTCTTAGGAGCACACTTGTCATGGGATTCAGGGCCCACCCGGATAATCTAGGGTGGTGTCATCTTAGCATCTTTCACTTAATCACACCTGCAACGACCCTTTTCCAAACACTGTCCTGTTCGAGGGTCCCAGGTGAGCAATACCAGTCCATCCACTGTGGGTTACACGGAGCCTTCAGAGGAACTTGGTAGTGGCCTAAATTTAGGGCTTAACTAACAGCCCAGCCGGAAGTTGATGACATCAGCCTGTCCTTGTTGGAAGTGGGGGGCACAGCCGAGTCTCCGTGCTGCACGGCCGAGGAGCCTGTGCCCCCCTCCACGCTGGGCAGCCGAGAGCATCTCCTGAGAGTGGCAGTGGGTGCTGTCCACGGCCGCCGCAGTCCTGCATGGCAGGTGAACCAGTCCTGGCAACGGCTCGTCCACGTGGGCAGCTGGCAGCTTCACCCTGGCAGCGTCGATACTCCTTCCCTTAGCCTCTGGAGCGGCCACCCCAGACCAAACACCTGTGGGCCCTGAGCGGGAGTATGACGGCACAGGTGTGGCGGGGGCGGGGGGCACACCTGCACGTTGCAGCAGGAGGACATGACGTGCATCGGGCATTAAGTGGCTGAGTTCCAGGGGCTCTGAGACTCTGACCTGGGGCCGTGGCTGAAAACCCACTTAAATACCGTGTTGCCACGACTGGGAAACAAGACCACAGCCCCCCCTAGAAGGTGCTGTAAGGACGGCTCGGTTGGTGGCCCCCGGCAGTGAGCCTCCTTCTTTGACTGTCCTTGCCCTTGGTGCAGGGGCGGACCCCAGGCATCCAAGAGGGACGGTGGACATTCTGTTTTTCTGCACAGGAGCCTCAGAGCCAGGCCTTTTTGCTGGGGCTCGAGCACCCTGCAGGGAGAGACAGACTGGGCCCCTGGCCTGGGGACCTGGGTGGGTTTTGACACCTGCTCTGACTCCCACCTGCCAAGTGATGTTGGCAAAGGTATCCAGGGCAGAGGTTGAGGGTCCTGCCGGATCACCGGGCCGAGCTGCTCCTGACAGGAGCAGAAGCCACAGAGTTATGGGGACCTCGTGGGCGAGTCACCCCTGGCTCTCCTAGACTCACGATGGGGTCCCGGGTGGCTTGCTCGGGCTAAGGACCTGCTTTCCAACCTCTGACCATCCCCTCAGCTGCAAGGTGGTCTTCAGAGATGCGGTGTTGGTAGTGGGAGTCTTTCGGGTAAGTGGTTAAAACACTCGGCCTTTTGGAAAATCTTTACGTTTTCCTTAGAATTGCTTAGATAGAAAGGGGCTTGGCCTTCTCCAGAGCTGGATTTAGGAGATACTGGAAGAACGTCACCCTGCCCTTTAAAGGACGTAGTCTTTGCCTTAACGTTTTCCAAGGTGACCTGCATCTGCAAGCTCTACTGGAAAGCCAGTGCTGAGAAGCGCACGTCCCTCCTGCCCAGGGCGGCCCTCGTTCGCCTCGCCCGGACGTGGTGCCCGGGTCGGGAAGTTTCCGAGGGTCCTGGGGACCCCCTGGTGCTCCCGAGCCGCACTGGTATCCTTGCTTCCCTGCCATCCAGTTGGAATTCTCCCTCTGTCTCTCTGGCCTCGGCCAGCCCCGGGTCTGAGCCAGAAGGTGGTATCCCAACCCTAGAAACGTAGGCGTTGTTTGGTATTTCTCCAAGAAGGAGCAGAACTGGTCAGTTTCTCACTTTTCTAACTCTCTGTTAGTTTGGGACTGAGTTTCTGTTATTCCTCTCTGGCCATCACTGAGAAAAGCAAAAACTTACTCGTCCCATTTTTTCCATCAATCTCCTTCCCTCCCGCCTCTGGCCCTGGACCACGTCTGTGCATGTGTATGTGGGTGTGTGCGTGTGTGTGTGTGTGTGTGTGTGTGTGTAGGATGTGTGTACATGTGTGGATGGGCTTGTGTGTACATGCATGTGTCCTGGCATGCGTGTGAGCATGGCTGAGCAGGTGTGCACACGTGTGTGCCGCGTGTTGCTCGCGGCATTGCTCTGCTGTCTGCAGGATGCTATGTGGGCTGACCCCGGCCTGTCTGTCATGTAAGTGACGGCCCGGTCCCCGTAAGGGGCTCGCTGTAACCAGCGCTGTCTGCACAGGGAGGGCGTGTCTGCAGAGCGGGCACCTCCGGTGACACGGGGTGGGGG